CACACACACACACACGGAGAGAGAGAGAGAGAGAGAGAGAGAGAGAGAGAGAGAGAGAGAGAGAGAGAGAGAGAGAGAGAGAGAGAGAGAGAGAGCACTTGTTTGAGGGAACGGAGAGAGCGAAACTCAATGAGCTAGGATGTGTTTGGCAGCCTGTTATGAGGAGCTGCAAATCCCGCTCGCTGTGACTATCGGGGTTCAACCTCATGATGAGTCGGTGAAAGTCTGACGAAACAGTCTGCCACAGTCATGTTTTTTTTTTCTTTTGTATAGCGAATACGACAACACACGCTATGGAGCATGTGTTATTTACCTCTATCTCCAACTCTCCCTCAAACTCGTCAAACGCTTGCGCGCTCATCGAGTTTCGCTCTTTCCGCTCCCTCAAACAAGTAATCTCCCACTGCTTGCGACTGTCAGGGTTCAACCGACTCAGTCCGACGAAATAGTCTGGTACAATCATGTTTTTTTTTAGTGTAGTATAGCGAATATGACAATACACGCTATGAAGCATGTGTTCCTTACCTCTATCTCCAACTCTCTCTCGAACGAGAGAGAACGAGAGAGAGAGAGAGAGAGAGAGAGAGAGAGAGAGAGAGAGAGAGAGAGAGAGAGAGAGAGAGAGAGAGAGAGAGAGAGTCTTCGTTCTGAATTTGGCCCGAAAATGCATCCAGATTCAGACAAAATGGTCGAAAAACGTGACAAGGCCAACTGGGCCGAAGTGGGTAGGCTGGGCAGGAGGCTGTAGGCCTGGGCCCGTGCCGTTTCGGATTCGAATTTCAAGGACCTGCAACCGCACGGTGTTTCAATTTTTTTTAGGACCACGGCCATCTACTAGTCCTTCACATAATGTCGGGGTTCCCAAGAAAATGCCATGGTCATGTGTTTGCTTGAGCTGCCCCTCCTGTCGTCCCTCCTGGTCTGTACCTTTCATTTACAAACCTTTTAACGACCAATGGGCGCGAATCAAGAACCGGTATAACCAAAGACAACGAAATTGCCTTAGGGGATAGGCGACCAGAGTGGCCTGGGACCACTTACTTGGCCGGGCCAAAAACATGAAAAAAATAAAAATAAAAAATAATTTTTAATTTTAACTTTTATTCGCAGCCTTGAGGCTGCAGTATAGTGGGCTTTGGCGTCTCTGTCAAGGTGTACAGCTAGCTCTGGTAGAACCGTGACTTTTGGAAAAAGGAAGTACCGGTCCTCAGGTGGAAGCGAACCCCAAAAGAAGTGGGGGGCGTTGGACCGGTCCTCGGGTGGAAGATCCCATTTCCTTCTTTCGTTTTCGCTTTCAAATTATTTATTTTTGGGGGCCGCGCGTACGCGTGCGCCCTCTACCAGAAATACTGCCGTAGTAACACCGCAGTGGGTGTGACTTAGGCCAGGCGAGACCCAAAGTGAACGGGAACCCTGCAACCTAGGCCGTCCGCCTTCTTGATCACAAATGACCCAAAAAAGAAGTGAGGGCATGTGAATTGCAAAAGGGCCCTCAGGCCTAGGGGTTGAGGCCCATCTTCTACAAACAGGGAGGTCAGGCGCAACGAAACAAACATTTTGCAAGAGGCAACTTTGGCGATTTTCTGTGCTCAAAGGAACCCGCAGAAAAATCTGAAATTTTGAAAATCCATAGATGAGGTCGTGTTCTTTCCAGGAAAAATATCAAAACATTTAAAAAAAATCATTTACACCACGAAATAATCTCTCTCTCTCTCTCTCTYTCTCTCTCTCTCTCTCTCTCTCTCTCTCTCTCTCTCTCTCTCTCTCTCTCTCTCTTTTGTGCACGCTCTTAGTCTCATTGCTTTGGCTACCTTAGGGCTGCGTTGCCCACGCCCATGCGGTAGACAATTTTTGCTTGCTGGGACCTTCCCTGGTCCTTGCACGGCTGGGCCACCCGGGAAAACATGGTGACCCAAGCGGCCCGTGAAAACAGGGTGACCCGGACGGCCCGACTGGTAGCATAGCTCAGGGGGGAAAAACACAACCTTTTCCTATCCCTGACCACCTTTGATCTGCAGCTCCAAATGGCCCATTCTTGGATGCTACATGGGCTGGCCCTGGGCCTCTTGCCCTGAGGTGCCCCTGGGCCTCTTGGCCTTGAACTGCCCCTGGGCCTCTTGGCCTGAGCTGCCCCTGGGCCCTTTGACCTAATACTACGCCCGCTCCTTTTGGACCTCTCGCCTCCACGGCCCACTTACGGGCTACGTTCCCGCGCCATCGCCGTAACAAGTCAATGGTGTGGCGAGGCCTCTAGTGGCCCCGATTTGCCGACCTAACACGGACTCATCGAAAATCGAGGCTGCAGGAAAGGTCTCTCGATTTTCTTGAGTCTGCAGGCTGGGGACTTCCGAGAGAGCCCTCTTGAAGAAATCTCTGTTGACAGCTAATTTCGAGGGTTTGCATTCCAGAGGTGGTGGAGCGCGGCGCCCCGCTCCGCTGTCCGAAAACACAAATTCAAGAGTGGCGATTGTAGGCCTTCTCTTTCTCAGCGGCGTTGGGCGTGAAGGCGGGGGGAGTTCCGTTCCGTTCACACTCGGCCCAGAAACGAAACAGGTAATTTTTGCGCCGCGTGGTGAAGTGAACCTTCTCTCTCTTTCTCTCTTTCTCTCTTTCTCTACCTCCCTTTCTCCTTCACTCCATCTCTCTGTCTCTCTTCAGGTGACATTGTGCGTGAAGAGGTGGAGAGTTCCGTTCAGACTCTGCCCAAAATCGAAGTAGGTGGGTTCGCGCGGCGTGGCGAAGTGCACCCTCTCTCTCTCCCTCTTTCTCTGTCTTTCTTTCTCTCTCCTTCCATCCCTCGCTCCTTCCCTCCCTCCGTCCTTCTCTCCTTCTCTCCTTCCCTCGCTCCATCTATTCGTTGTTTCAGTTTGCAACTCCATTTTTACGTGGGGGTGCATGCACGGCCGTATGCGGATGAACTACGGTAGGCTTGGTGTCATGCCGTGAATGCGGAGGGGAGGTCAGGTGCCTGTTCAGGAGGCAGGTAGGGGAAGGGGAGAGGCCTGCACCCAAAAGTTGAGGAAAGGCTGGCAGCGAAATCCGGAGGGGACGGAGTAGCAGGGGAGGGACGAAGGGGGAGGCCCAGTGTGCGGTATCGTAATGATGATACGATCGGGATTTGGTTGGCCAGGTTTGGGATGTGGCGACAGATAGAGGAAGGAGACGAAGAGTCACCGCGATAAAGCTGAAGCATGCAAGGGATTGCTGAAGTCGAGGACGTCGAGAAGGAAGCGGAAACACAAGCAGAAGGTAGTGGGGACCCAATCTGTGAAGAAGGGGATCTTCAACGCCGATTGAAAGGGGGAGGGAGGGAAGTTTAGGGTCACGTGGATCGAGAAGAGGAGGTAGGCGCAGGAGAAAGAACCCCAAGGCAGTAGGGTAAGGGATGGAGGTTATCGTGATGTGGTGGATCTGGACAAGGCGACTAAGAAGAGTCTGAAAGACAGGAACAGGTGCTCATGGGGGAGGAAGAGGAGCAGCAGGTTGTAAGGAAAGGGAGTGAGTGGGGTTATGACGAAGGGCGTGAATCATGAATGCTATTGATTGAGGAGAGCAATGAAGAGAGAAAAAAGTGAAAGAGAGAGGAAGAGAGGAACGGGAACAACCAGATTCACAGGGTCCACATCGATCGTCGGAGGAGCTCGGCGCGCATCGCGACGGACGATAGTGACGGGAGGAGAGAGGTGACAGACGCAGGACAATGGGAGAAGAGGATGGGAAAAAGTGGATTGGTGGGGCGACGATCGGGAGCGGGGGTGGAAAGCTGAAATCGAACAGGCGGAAAGTGGAAAAGAAGGAAAGCAAGCGGGTAGGGGTAGGCAAGAGAGAGAGAGAGAGAGAGAGAGAGAGAGAGAGAGAGAGAGAGAGAGAGAGAGAGAGAGCAATTTAAACTCTGTTCTTGGCATGTGCTGTGAAGTCCTCTTTTATCTCTCTCTCTTGGTGCGCTTCATGTTATGCCGTGCCCATGCCGTGACTGCCTTCGGTTTCTGTGTCTGTATCTGACCGGAAATCCATATAGGATGTCTACGATGGCATTTGCCTATGCGTTTTGTAATAAGGGGAAGTTGAGGGAGGAGGGATAGGAGGGAGGGGGAAGGCGGCCGGAGGTTGTGGCGGGGGGTAGGGGGGGGGGGGGCGGAGAGGAGTATGAACCATGCGCATTCCATTATGAGTACCTCAAATCTGATACCCGTTCACCGAAGTGTTGATAATTTGATGGCATGCTCGGTCACGCTTGCGATTCTTGGACACTTGTATTTCGTGTTGGTAATTGTTTTCAAATGCCTGAACTGTGGCCGTGATTGCGGCCAGGTGCATCCTGAAACTCGTAGTGTGGTGATACTGTAATATGCCGTAGCACAATACGTCTCTTGCCTGATTCTCTTATGGGAGCTGACTTAGGGCAAACTCATACACTAGCGGCAAGACGTTCTTCGCCTGATCCTCCTCTTATGGGGGTGTGAGCTGACTCAGAGTGAATTCATACTTCCGCGCCCTTTTTTGAATCTAGGTGAAGCCCTGCCTGAACTGTGGCCGTGATTGTGGCCAGGTGCATCCTGAAACTCGTAGTGTGGTGATAATATGCGGTAATACAAAACGTCTCTTGCCTGATTCTCTTATGGGAGCTGACTTAGGGCTAACTCATACACTAGCGGCAAGACGTCCTTTGCCTGATCCTCTGATGGGGGTGTGAGCTGACTCGGGGTAAATTCATACTTTCGCGCACTTTTTTGAGGCTAGGTGAAACCCTTGCCTCCGATATTCTGCTTTCCTCTTCACACCTCGTCGTGCTCCTCCGCTTCCTCTCCCTCTGCGGGACTCCAACCGTCGTCTATTTTCTGTTAGCCCAAGGGGACCTGTGCCCTCTCGTTTGTATGACATCAACGACCATAACAATGATTACTGTAATGACGAGTGTATTATTGAATGGCCAATTAATTAATGGAATCGGGGTTCGGGTGTCGTCAAGGTCGAGGGTATATCATAGATAAGCCTGCCTTTATGATAATTAATTGGTACCCCTAATTTTCCACTTGGTTAATAAATTACTCAAATGAGAAGTAGATAAGCTCTTCCGCAGATACATGCGCACACACACTCAGCCCCCGGGCCTGTAGAGCGCGCACGGGGCTCAGACATATAAATTCAGACTCACATTCTCCCCATCCATCCTTCTCGCCGCTCGTCGCCCTCCCGACGCCAGCCCTTCGCCTTCCGCCGCTCCCCCTCAAAACGCTTGTAAGGGCGCGCACACTCACTCACGTTTCTTTTCATCTTCCCTTGTGCGTACAAATGCGTGGAAAAGTGTGTGATGAGATCCAAATGCGCGTGTTCAGAGCAGTGGATGGGGAAGCTTCGACACGGGCGCTGCTACCGTCTTCACCTGAATATAACGCCCGGTAATTATCACTGCATTTGGACTGAAAGCTCTGCCAAATGCAGATATAATGACCGTTCGTTTTATTTCGGGTGAAGACGGGAGTGCGGACAACGACAGCCTTCACCGTCTTCGGCCGCAGTTGTGGTGCAATTGTCATTGACGACGGCCCGAGAGGAATATAATTCGTGAATTATATTAGCAGTTAAAGTAATAAAAGAGACAGCAAGGTTTTGTAGTCACCGGTTGAAGGCTTTCCAAAAGAGCGGGAGAGCGTGATAAGCCGTTTAGTGTTTTTCCACCCAGTCGCGCCCCTCCCCCGTCTTTTCCGCCCTTGGAGCACAGCTTCTTTGTACGGTAGTCTCCCCGAGAGGAGATTCCATTGCTTGACCTGCTTGGTGCTAGGTGAGGTGCGTTCTCTCTCTCCCTCTCTCTATCTCTCTCTCCCTTTGTGGCACGCACAGCGCTCACCGATATCGGTCCACATTTGCGTGACCGCTAACCCTAGCCGCTGGTAGACACATGTTTCATGGCGAGTGTGCATTTCTGTCTGATGGGGAAGATGTTGAAAAAACTCACTACAGACTTTTTGGCTTTCGTGTGGTAATTCAGCAGGGTGACTGTTTCGCTCCTTTCCGATGGTCGAAGATGATGATAGCACGGATTGGGTCCCCTTTTTTTTTTTTTTTTTTTTTTTTTTCTCGTTTTTGCTCAGGATTCGGGCTGGTGTAACGTGTATCTAAAAAAGAAGAAAGAAAAAAACGTGTACTGTGGGACCGTATTTCCGTTAGGTCTCATGTGTACTGTGAATGGATTTTTTGCGGTGAGGTGATTGAAGGATATAGATGATATCTGGGTCAGGTGCGTTATATACTGTGAATGGATTTTTTGCGGTGAGGTTGGTTCCAGTGAGCGGGGACGGTTTGTTAGGTAGTTTCTTTTCAATTGATTGGATTCGACGTTCTCTTCTATGCGTGCACTTGGTCTTGTGATATTGCAGGTTGAGTAAAAATGCAGATCTTTGTGAAGACCCTGACGGGCAAGACCATAACGTTGGAAGTCGAGAGTAGCGATACCATCGACAATGTGAAGACGAAGATTCAGGACAAGGAAGGTCAGTGATTTGATATCGAACTCGGTGTCAGTTTTTTTGTTGTCGTCGTTGAGTGTCATGTGCGGGGGATGTTGTGGACCACCACCCCAATCCTGACGATTGGTAAAGATATGCGGACTCGTGCATATGCTGGCTGTTTGGGATTTTGCTATTACAGTGGCGACGCCATGGTTGGATGGGGGGGGTTACGAGTAGAGTTAACCCTACCGTCTTCCACCGAACGTAACGCACCCTCGTCTCGTTTTGAATGTATCGAGCCCGAAACATGTCTTCTGTACTTCCATTTTCAGGGTGCGTTATGTTCGGGTGACGAAGACGGTAGTTGTTGTCTCATTAACCCCCTGATTCTTATCTGGTTACCTCCGGTGGTGGTGGGGGTTGACGTCCAATTGATTGAGAAACCCTAGTCACGGCCTTTGAGGAAGACGATTTGTGTGAGGTCTGTGCTCCGGACTGATGGTTTGTGCCGTAACTGTGGACATCGCTCCTCTCTACACCGCTCTCCATGTATCTGGACGAGTTTTGAACCGCAAGTGCATTATATTAGGACGAGTCCAACGTTTTGAATGCATCGGGTCCAGTCTTTTCATTCACGTTTGGTGGTTTGTTTTCGTGCGTTTGCGTCGAATTTGTGTGGTGGCAGGGATTCCTCCTGATCAGCAGAGACTCATCTTTGCGGGAAAGCAGCTTGAAGATGGCAGGACCCTCGCAGATTATAACATCCAGAAGGGTGAGTTGTATATCTCTACCCTGCTGTTTTCTGACATTGTGCTAATCGAGACCAAAGAAGTGACACGCTGTTTAGTGTGCCTTGTTCGTAGACGATGCCTCCTATGATGTTGTTGCGAGTGATTGATTGGTTGATTGAAGCCTTTGGCTGATTGATTGGTTGATTGAAGCCTTTGGCTGATTGATTGGTTGATTGAAGCCTTTGGCTGATTGATTGGTTGATTGAAGCCTTTGGCTGTCGATTGCTGTGAGGTGTCGTGCCTTGACTGATTGATTTGATGTCTTGGCTGAGGACAATAGTGTCATTCTGTCTAGGGTGCCTTCGTGGATGATGCCTTCGATGTTGATTGATTGATTGATTGTTGAATAATTGAAGCCTCAGATCGTTGATTGCTGTGAGAAGCTTTCGTTCCCTGACTGATTGATTCGATGCCTTGGCTGGGGACAATAATGTCATTCTTCCTAGTGAGTCTTCGTGGATGATGCCTTCGATGTTGTTGTGATTGATTGATTGTTGATTGATTGAAGCCATAAACTGTTGATTGCTGTGATAAGCTGTCGTCCCTTGACTGATTGATTTGATGCCTTGGCGGGAATTATTTAAACGGTGAACCAGATTTTGTGGTGCTCTGGTTGCTTGACTGCTTTGCCTCTACTCTGCAGTCGTAGCGTTGTCTTATGATTTGATTGATGTGTTATTGTCCTTGTGCTTGGTGGTGGCAGATGCTCTTGGATGCGGCCACAGCCGCATGATTTCGACCCGCAAATGGTTTTCGTTAGGGCCTGTTATCCAGACTACGTTCTCTTGTTGCTGCTCGTGCTTGTTTACTCAATCTGTTCGTGATTATGTCTGTTCTTAGGGTTTTCATGTTGTCTATTTAAGTGTTGTGTTGTGCGCTGTCGTTGTGAGTTGTTTTGTCTAATGATGCAGAGTATGCGCTGTGTGTGTGTGTTTTGTCTAATGATGCAGAGTCTACCCTACATCTTGTCCTGAGACTTCGTGGCGGAATCATCGAGCCTTCGCTGATGGCTCTTGCGAGGAAGTACAATCAGGAGAAGATGATTTGCCGCAAGTAAGTGCCCCCTCGTCTTAGCTACGTTCGTTGCTTTTGCTGGTTGGAACCCTAATTTTCCCTTTCGGTTGTTGATCGACGTTTTGGACGGCCGCCGCTTTCGACGTTCCATCACCGAACCGACCGGTCCCTAATTGGCGCTGGTGGTTTCCACGTTGTACGTCATTATTATCTCCTAAGAGGTGCTTTACAGGGGTATAGGCGTGGGCTGGATCCGCTAATTGACTCTCCCATTTTAGATGCTAATCAATCGGCAGCCCACAAACTTACCTATACATGCCTAGCTTCTTCTAGATGGTTCCCCCTTCTATACGTTTCTGGTCTAGATGCATAGCTTGTACCCAACTGCCATTTGTCCTCCGCTACCTTACGTCGGGTCTCACCTGTGCAGATTTCCGTTAGCGGTCGTGCGATTTCTGCGCGGCTGGGTCTTGAGCCAGTCTTGATGATGCATACCTTGCACTCAACTGCTAATTGTCCTTCGCTCGACGCTCTTCGACTTCCCGGTGCATGCGACTCGATCCAGGACGACTTTTCTCTTTGCGGGAGTGGGCGATGATGACTGCTGTGTACTACTCTTCGACTTCTCCGCCGAAGGAGCTCACCGCTCCACGGCGTGGTGACGTGACTAGATCTAGGAGGACGTTTCTCTCTGAGTGACCGGGCCGTGATCAGCCCTGGGTACTGTTCGACTTCACCGTCAAAACAACTCGCCGCCCCCTATATCTCCTCCTGGCGCACGCGGGTGTTGATCCGCAAGGACGAGAAACAGACAAGAAACAGACAAGTTCTGTCTGTCTGTATATCGAAGAAGCCAGTAAGACCTCATTGAACGAATGGATGGAATACCTATCGAAGACGTCATGAAGACGTCATTGAACTGATGGATGGAATAACTCTTCGCAGCGATGATGGAAACAGGATGTTTGGTTCTTCGACTGACACGTGGCGGCGCGCTATCGGTGGACTCGTTGAAGAGCTTGTGTTCTAGCCCAGATGAGCACGATGAATGTTCGTTTTGACCGACACGTGGCAGCACGAGATCAGTAGGTGGATCTGGCCGGTCTAATGGCACTTGAGAAATATACGTGGCGGCCTCAAGAAAGCTCTCGCTTGTTCTCTAACTCCCTTGTGCTCCCTCCCTGCCTTCTTTCTGATACCTTTTCTTCGTCTCCGTCTCGCACGGAGATTCTCTCCTTCCCATTCCTCTGGTCGCTCTCTCCTCGGCCTCGTCTAAGCACCTCCCTTCGTCGTCGCTGTGTGGATTATAGTCGTGTATTTTGTTTTTATCTATCACCTCCTGACCTGCCTGGTTGCTCTGTTTTCCATGGCTTTCCTTCATCTGTCTCTCGCACAGAGGTTTAGTTCTTGTCTCTCTCTCTGGTCCATGTGATTGATTCTGCTCGCTCTCCTGCTTTCTTATTTCCCGGACCCTCTGGTTACACGCCCCGCGAAGATACTGGGCTCTCAATTCGAAGAGAAGACCCCTCTCTGCCCCAGATATGCAACTTCAACGAATGTATCGGACCGTAAAGATGTACACATTCAGAAGTGATCAGGTTGCGTTCGAGGGGAACGCACATCGAAAGATGTACACGTTTTGAAATGGGCAGGGTGCGTCCGAGGGTAGATTTTTTGGAAGAAAGGAGGAAGAAGGTTTGATGAAGAAAATGGGGTATAGATTTTGATGAAGCAAACATGACGACGAAGAAAAAGACGAGGAATAAGAAGAAAAAGGAGAAGAAGAAGAGGGAGGAGGAGAATAAGAGAAGGTGCTGAAGAAAATGGGGTAGAGATTTTTGATGAAGAAAACATGACGAAGAAAAAGACGAAAGGAATACGAAGAGAAAGAAGGGGAAGGAGAAGAAGAGAAGGTGAACAGTAGTTATGAGGAAAAGCAGTGGTAGTGGCTTGCAAGGGAGAAGAATAAGGGATATGAGGTGAAGATGAAAAAATGCACAATGCGGGGAGAAGAGCAGGAAGATAAGAGATGAAGAAAGGGAAAGCAAAAGGACACACGAAGAAGAATATTGACAAGCAGTGGTCAGAATCTCCCATTTGTACATGGCTCTGGAGCGGGTCATTACAATGCCGCAAATACAAATCTTAGAGGCGCGCTAATGAAGGAGGAGACGAAAGGGGTGGAGATGAATAAGGAGAGCAGTGCTACGATGAAGCGGACTTGATGGAAGCGTCTATGTGGGGGATCCAAATGATTTAAATGAGACACTGGTTGCTGGTGTGCCCCATCTCTGGACTGAGAAAGGAAGCCTAGATATGAAGGTTATCAGATCTTACGGACAAAATCTGGTAGTGTCTCTTGCAGGACAAATATTCCCTCTGGGCCAGTCAATACGGTGTGGCCGTACTTGCGTGACTGTTACTTGTCATGAAAGGCTGGTTGCATATGATCAAAAATAGCGGTCTGGGGGTATTGAGGGCTTGGTATACTGGCTGCCGATCCTGCACGTATTTTTTGTTTTCCTCCTGTGGATTCGAACTAGGAATTTATTCCAACAGCTAATGGATGTACTTGGTCTATATTCCAACAGCTAATGGATGTACTTGGTCTATATTCCAACAGCTAATGGATGTACTTGGTCTATATTCCAACAGCAGCTAATGGATGTACCGCCCGAGCTAGGTTGGCGGTTATATGTATATGTATGTTAGTCTGTGTAACCCTGAATTGATGGATTTGAAATGGATGTACGTGGTCTATATTCCAACAGCTAATGGATGTACTTGGTCTATATTCCAATAGGAGCTAATGGATGTACGCTATCTTCTTCCCCCGAATACAACGTACGGTCATTATATCTGTATCTAGACTGAAAGATAATCCAAATACGGCTATAATGACCGTACCTTGTATTCGGGGGAAGGTAGGTTGGCGGGTATATGTATATGTATGTTACTGTGTAAGCATGAATCGATGGATTTGAACGCGTTGTTCGTGGGCCCAAATTTGCCTCACAGCCATTCAATCAACCGGCTTGGAGATGGAATGGAGCCCTAGATTGAAGAAGTGTCGCCTGTCTCTTGAAAACGGCCATGCCTGTCTCCTCACTGGAAGTGGTCGTCCAGGATGGTGCGATAGATAGATACAACAGAATCAACGGTCTTCCTGTGTTGCACTGCGTATGAAGCAACCACCGGTGCGCTAGCGAGTGGCGGCCTTCCACTGCGCGTGATGAGCTTTACCGAATTGCCAGCGCCTCTTCTTTGATAGATCGTGCCCTCTCAGCACTTGCATCGTTCCCTCTAAGAACTTTCATCGTGGCGTCTCAGGATTATGCATTCCGTTTCTGGGAGGAGGCCGTGCTCTGATAGATCGTCGTGCCCGCTCACAACTTTCATCGCGCCCTCTCAGAACTTTCATTGTGCGCTCTCAGAACTTTCATCGTGACCTCTCGGAATTTTCATTGTGGGAGGTGGTGTCTTTCCTCATTTCACTCAAGTAATCTTGAACTGTTTGTGTTCTTCGGCACATCCGTTATAAAAATTGGGGCGGTACAGAGAAGATCAGCATGGCCCCTTCGCAAGGATGACATGCGTAAATAGAGAAATGCTCCCAAATTATTGAAAATAAACGCGCAACTGTTTGTGAGTACGGAGCACTGGCGTAGGAGGCAATGGTGGTGCAATTCATTTAAAAAAGGTTGAGCTGGAAAGTCCAGGCGCCCGCGGATGCGAAAGATGAGTCGATGTTATGTACAGGGGAGAAAAATGAGCGTGCGTTCTGTTCGGGGGAAGATGGTATTTGCAAAGATGAGTGTGTGCCACTGTGGTACATACAGGGGGGCGATGAGGCTTACACTACAGTCCACATGCATAGGGAGATAATGAGCATGCGTTCTATTCGGGCAAGGAGCAACCTCTGATAGGCTCAACTACGCGGAGATGCTCGTACCACTACACATTATAGACTCAAAGCTCTGAGGTCTGAAATTGAAAAAAGAAAAGGATGATGAGCATACGTTCTATTCGGGGGATGATGCTAATTGGAAAGACGAGGGTGTGGTGGTATGTAGTACAGGGGGACTATGAGACTCACACTACAGTGCTCTTGCATGACGACAGGTGCTATGCGAGGCTGCATCCGCGAGCGGTGAACTGTCGGAAGAAGAAGTGTGGCCACAGCAACCAGGTGGGTCTCTACAGCTCTCCCCTTCAAATTTGTTGTGTGGATCCGCTTTCGACTTTAACTGCGCGGGTTGTTTGTTTGTTTGCCTCTCTGTGTCTGTTTGTTGAGTCGTGAGTAGGGAGGGGTATTTTGAGTAAGCAAGTGGTCTGTGTGTCTGCTTGTTGTCTGCGTGCACCTGTCTGTTTGTTCACTAGTGAGGGGTACCAAGTCTATTTTTAGTAAGCAATTGGTCTGTGTGTCTGTTTACTGTGTGCGTGCAGCTGCGGCCCAAGAAGAAGATCAAGTGAGAGATGATGATCGCTTTCGGTGTGGTAGTCTTTGTGCTCCAAGTTGTGCCATTTCGAGTGTCGCTGGCTCTCGAGTGCCGAAGCAGCGATGGCGGCATCAGAGATGGATCTGTAGATTTTGAAGCGACGACGTTGTCGTTGGTGTGATGAAGGCTGTAGTTCTGGTGTATTCGTGGCCAAAGTTTTCTGCCGCCTCACACGCACGCAATGTGTAGTAGACTTTCTGCAGGAGCGAGGATGTGTCCTTGATGATTTCACGGGCTCTGTGGGTGTTAAAGGGTGTGTAGGGTTTGTCATTGCAGTCGTGATTTTGGATACTCGGTAATTGGAAAAGACATATCTCTCACCCCTTGTGTGAGGAAGGCGTTTAAGCAAAAAAAAGAAATCGATCCTCTCCGATCTTTGTTACGTCCTCGCGCTGTCATCTGTGTATGCGTGAGTCGGTGTGTGCGCATCTCTATGAGGAAGGCATTTAAGCAAAAAGCAATCGATCGTCTCCAATCTTTGTTACGTCCTCGCTCTGTCATCTGTGTATGGTTGAGTCGGTGTGTGCGCATCTCTGGGATCTCTTTTGTCTGCGGAACGAACGAGTCAGTGATTGTCGATCCCGTTTGTCAGTGTCTGAGCGACTCCCACGTCATGCTTCATTGTTCAATGGGATTGCCTTAAAGCACGTACTTATTGTGTCGAGATTGTAACTGGCGACCTTTTTTTTTACCCCTACCCTATAAAGCATGTACGTATTGTATCGGGGTCTTAACCCCTTTTTCTTTTTTCTTTTTTTTTGCTGTGCCTACGTGTCTCTGCAATAGGCGGCAGGGATCGTCTGAACCGCCGCAACACTGCTCTGGTGACCAGTCTTTTTTTTTTTTTTTTTTTTCTGGTGACAAGTGTGGGAAGGAGTCGGAACGGACTTTTTGCGGGCAATGAAAAAAAGTGGAAGCCTTTAACATGAATCAGGCTGGGAAAAGGGGAAAAGCCGAAGGGAAAGGCGGTGTGTGTAGCAGGGAACGAATTTGAAAAGGTGCGGTGGTGTATCCGTTTTTGCCCAGAGACGGGAGCAACCTTGGCGCTCGACGAAGGCCGGCGGCTGTGGGGGTGTTGGGGGGGGGGGGGGAGGGGGGTATGCTGGCTCTGGCTTAGGGGCTCGCCTGACCACTGTTGAAACCAAAAAGAATGGAGTGCATCTTCCTCAGAAACTGGCAAGATGCATCCTTTTACTATTTATAGCAAAGCGATATGCATGTTGCTCTACTCTCTGCATGAACATGCACTCTCACTCTTTATGATCTTTAGACGACTGTAGTGTCGAAGACCGCTCTTGAGTCGTGCCTGAAATGTTTTTGAGCCTGTCCTGTATGTCGAGCCTGCTTCACGTGTCAGTCCCAAAATCCAAATACAGGCCCAATTAGTTCGACATGTCGGTCCCAAAATGCAAATACAGGCCCAATTAGTTCGACATGTCGGTCCCAAAATGTAAATATTGGCCCAATTAGTTCGACATGTCAGTCCCAAAATGCAAATACAGGCCCAAGTGATTCGAATTGGTTTACCAATGGTCTCTGTTCGAATAAATGCAGATCTAAGATCGACGCCCTTTGACATTTTGGCAGCATTGAGATGGGCAGGCAGGCTTGTCGAGCGCATATGGACATAAATGATCTGTATATCTTTTGTAATCAGAATTGGTACACCCATGAGCTGTTGGAATACGGACCCTTTTTTTTTTTTTTTTTTTTAAATTTAAATCTTCATATCAGACGCAATTTCGAATCCTCACTGGCCAACGAGGAATTCTGAATTACCTGGCGCTGTTCACATGGATGATGATCTCTCTTTTTTTATTTTTTTTTTTTTTTTTTTTACGAGTTTTAGTAACCTTGTGTTTTCTTCTTTCAATTTGACCTTTTACGATCGACGTCCTCTTACTACGCATATACTGGGGACTGCTGCAAGCACAGCCGCCTCTCATAATTAAGGGGGGGGGGGGGGGGGGGGAATGTTGCGCCCCCTACGTGCCGATCGCCGTTGGTCAGCGGGAGCAGGTGGTGGCCGCTGCCAACTGTGGGGGCAATGGATAACACGAAGACACCGGGCAGTTTGCCTTTGCCTCCCACTTTCTTCGCCCACCCCCCCATCGAGTAGCACAGCTCTCAAGGCAGTGGTCGTGAAGGAAAAATCGAAAGGAATCATGTCCAGAAAAGTAAAAAAGAAGTTACGTCCAGAAATCCCTTGGCGCCACGGCCTATTCAAACAAGTGCCATCCTTGCCAAGCACAGTGGCCATGCTAATCTTCTCGGGCTTGTTCAAATTTTATTGGACATGTCTCGAAGGCCGTCGGGCCCGATTGGACGTTGGGGCCGACGATTTGCCTTGGTTGGGTGTTGATAATCATGATACGACAAGGTCTGATGTTCCTCGCGGAAGGGGGAGAAAGTCGCTGCTCGCGGTGCGACTTTTTCGTCGGGCCCGGTGGTAATGGACAGTGGTGGCCTCTGTTAGAGACGGCTTACGGC